AGAAAAAAAAAATCACTTATACCAATAACTTACATAAAGAATAGAGCAGGAAAAATGGCTAATAAAAACTAGAAATGTGCTGCAGAAAACTGTAGAAATAACCTACCCACCTGGAGGCTTAGACAATGCATTAAAGCACTTCACTAAAAATGCTTCCTACTCTCAGATTTCTTACCCAAATTAAAAAGCGCATCAGCAAAACTGGTACCAAAAAAAACCCCAACCCACAGAAAACCCCAACAAACACCCAAAGGTAGTATGTATATGTTTCACTTCTCCAGAACAAGCAAGTTCAATATGGTAAATAATTTTGCAGTCCAGAGCCTTCACAAATCCTTAGATGAAGAGATTAATCATACAGACCATTAAATCTCAAAGAATATACAATGTTTCAAGGTATAGCAGGGCAGCTGGAACAACAGACATCATATCTAATAAATGAATTATTTCCACCCTGATTTCGAACCACCTCGGACAGGAAAGCACCGTGCACTGAGCCCCAACACTCCTCCAAGTCAACTGCCTTTTCCCTCAACAACTCCTGGCCAGGCACAAAACCTACCAACCTTTTCAGCTTCTGAAAAGCAGAGCTAAGTTTAGAGCAGCACATTTTTTACACACACAAACATAAAACACAGAGCGTTTTTACAAAGTTTTTGCCGTGCCATGCCATTTACTTCCATTATTAGTATAACACACTTAGAACAGGAAAGAGTAGAGAAACATTTACTTTGCTGTTACCTGCTCCCTTTCACATGCCCAGCTAATGCCCTTTTAATTTACATACACAGCTCCTCCTGGCATGAACAGAAGTTGTGCATGAAAAAACACAGGCAAAAATTGAACAACTCTCATTCTCTGAGCTATTAATGTACAACAAGTTTGCATCTATATCTGTTCACAGGTAAAAGGTGGTTTCCTATTTCATAAAATAATCAAATGTCTTACTTAAAAGTACTTTATTACACGTAACTATTTAATGTAACACTCAAACCCACTCTACAAAATCATCAGACATGTTAATTTTAGCATAACTTTGTAACACTCATCATTGATCCATCCTCCTTGAAAGAAGCCATTTATTACTTTTGTTGATGCCTAAAAGCATGTTGGATGCTATACAACTCCAAAATTCTACCAGCTCTTAAATAACCCAATGCTGGATGATTATTGATTATGCATATACTCAGACAAATTTCTTCCTTGCTCAAAGTTAACAAATATATGGACTTAAAAAGATGAAAACCATATTGTTCAGGGAAGACTACAAGTAAGTTTTGACAGTATTTTATTACCTACAGATGATTTTACATTATTTCAGCTAAATCAGCCTGTCTTTAATCTTTTAATACTCTTTTCCTGTACTTCTGCTCCTGTTCCATCACATCAAAATACAGAGTTAGCCATCCCTACACATAAAATCTAAGCACCTCTTGTGTTGAGTACTTACCCTAACAGAATACAGTGTCCCACTATCCTATCAAAATAATAGAATAAAGCATTTTTATTGGGAAATGCACTTTTTCGAAGCATAAGAGCACATCCAAGATTACGTAAAGTGTTTTTGAACATGAATTACAAGAGCACTGTGCAAAAAATTGCAAACCTGTAACAAAACTGATGATTGGAATCTTTTTCCATTTGCAGCAACTGGGAATACTGGTGGTTCCAGCTGGGCCGGGATCACACCCTGTGTTGCACTTAAGGATTCAAAAGAAATTGCACAGAACCTTTTAATTTTTATTATTTATATCTTTACTGGGGTTTAGGCTGCATTAGACCCAATGAGAGCTCTGGCTGCAGTGTGTGATTCTTTCAGACAAGAAGAGAGAAACTGGGACACACAGAGAGAGCCAAGGCTGTGTCTCACCTCGGCATGGATTCAGTCCCTCATGGAGGAAGTTAAGTCTGGTAGTAAATTCCACAAATTAGGTAACTGCCCTGCAGTTTGTTAGGCTCACATTTCAAAAGTTTAAGATCCATTTTTAGTGGTATATCCAGCCACACGTGGACATAAAAACTGCACTTGAGTTAAGAAAATGCAAAAACTGGTCTTGCCTCCAGCAGCCTGTCTGATCTACATTAATCACAACAGTATCCTTTCTGTGAATGACTGGTCAATTGATTATTCTTCCTTTAAATGCATGTAATAAACAGATTACTGAAAGGAAACTCAGTAGAAACATTGGAACCTACCAAACAAATGCCACTACGTCCTCACATCAATTCCACTTAAAACTCTTCGACTGGAAATCAACTATTCTCAAAGCTAGCAGGAACTGGAAAGAAACGTAATTTTTCTCCTTCAACAATAAAGACCACATGGAGTTACAATGTTGACACAGTGCTATTGAAGCTCTGTTTCACAATAAAAACTTGTATTATTAAACCTATGGCGAGATGCACACAGCTGGACCCTCATAATATTACAAAGCCCATGTCAAATCTGCCTGGGATCCGTCTGCATATACCTGTTTATAACGTCTCCACACTTTGCCAAGTGCAATGGCTAAAATCCCAGCATAAAGGATTTTAAGTCTGGGTACCCTTAATTAAATTTTGCAACCAATGTTTGACTCTAAGTTTGTAAAACAAACTGGTGAGCAATGTGTTAAATGTCAGTGCAGCTCCACAGAGATACACTTCTTGTAAACCTCTCTTTTCATTGTGGTGTTCTTGAGGGAGAGCATCCACAACTTTCAATATAATACTGCAATTTGGAAAGAAATATCTTTTTAAAAACCAAACCAAACTAAAACTTTCTCAAATATGCCCTCAAGTCAAAAGGAAGGAAACCTAATTCTTTATAAACAGCATGGGAGCTACTTCAAAATGTTCTGTCTGTTCCCCTCTAAGGAAGGAAGCAGCAATGCAAGAAAAGGATCCATAATAAAAAGAGCAAATACTAAATTCCCTGAATACATCAGGTTAGTGGAATTCAAGTGTTACCCTTCAGAGAATGGAAATTCAAGGGGAAACAGAAGGGAAAAGGTGTCTGACAGGTAAAACACAAGTTGGATATTAGGAAAGCAAAAAAGAAAATAAGAACAGATAGCAAAGAACACAAAACCAAATAACAATAAAGCCTATTAGCATATCAGAAGCTGGAAACTTTGCAGAAAATCATTGTATTTGCTAGCTGGGATTGAAAGAGCACTTGAAGAAGATAAGGCATTGCAGACAATCCAAACTATGTCTCTTCACCAGCCTTTGCTATGGAAAATGCTGGGGAAACACATCCCTGACTTCTCTGATAAAGTGACTGACACTTCTTCAAACTGAAAAATCAAAACAGGGTGAGGAAACAAAATCAATTGAAAGCAATAAATGATGAGGGATGAGCTCCTGTCCCACTGCCATCGATGGGTCTTTTACCATTGATTTTAGCACTGTTACTATTTCACTTCAGATCTGAACAGCAACAGTTTCAAAACATGAAAAGGCTGAGCTGGGCATGGGAGTGGGCTGTTCAGGGTGCAGCAGTGGTCAAAAAAACCAAGGAAAATTGCAGAACATAAAAAGGATGAGACAGGAACAGCAGGAAAGACTATCTTTTCAGTCAATATCCAATCTCTTCTGGAGTATCTATTCAGCTTGGGATTCCTGCTCTAAACCAGTGACGGTGGCATTTGTCACGAGTTTGACAACAGTCAAAAATGATGATGGAAGAAAATTACCAAAGATGGAAAAATCCTGGAATTTAACTTAGTAAAGAGATGTATAAGAAGGGACTGTAGAGCTGCAAAGAATGCTATGAGATATAAGATAATAAGGGGTTCTTGAATTTAAGCTTTCTCATATTACTAGAGCAAAGAACCACTCAGGGCAATAAAAGGTTAGCAGGTCATAAATAAAAGGACCAAAACATTTTACTGTATAAACAAAAAAAATGTGTAATTAATTCACAAAGTATCCATGCTAACAGCAATGAATATTCTTCTATGGTTTTCTTTATTGTTCATACCCATATAAAGAAATCAGTGGCATGGCAATAAACATAAATTTTCAGAACCACTCCTTTAAGGGAATGTGTTTTCCCTTTCCTCTTGCCCTGATGCATGGAACTTTTTAGGCTGGATATGTGCCAGGGGAGGAAGGGGAGGTCAGATGAGGCACGGAGCATGGCTAGGGCAAGGATGAGGACAGCTAGGAAAGATGCTTCAAGCACATGCTCCAACTGCCTGCCCTGTGCTCGATCCTACACTTGTAACACAGGTGGTTGATGGCTCAGAAATCTGCCAGCTGTTGGCACTGGATATATTGTGTCCCACTTTAGAATTAAGACAGAAGCACTAAACTATCAATGTGTGAAATCTGTGACTTAAATTACAAGGTAGAGCCATCCAAGGAGTCTCTTGCATAATTCATGACACTTCAGAACTTTATATATAAATCAAATAGGAGGAAAGTCGATCATTTCTGCTCTGTTGAGCACAGATCCACAAACTCGGGTAATGGCTGCACAAACAAGCTCTCTAGAAAATACAGTATTACAGGCATGTTCTTCACAATGCTCACTCACACGGTAATTTCAGTGCAATATCGTTCAATGAACACTTTTATTAAAAACTACTTGCAAGTGTCAAAAGCACAGAGGCCATTAAAAATAACCAAATTAGTCTGGTTTGGGATTTTTTTGTTGTTTTCTTCTTCCCTTCAAATGAATGCCTACAAACACTCATTTGCATTTTTTCCATATTGGACTTAATTAAACTTTATGATATGATTCAGGGGCTGGCTATTAATCATTTTGTCTAATTCTGTTGAAAAAGGAAACCTCAGAATCTACAAAGCTCTGACACTTCATGAGAGGCCCAAAACGAGTGAAAATATATTCTCCAAGGATAAACTTCGACAGACTTCTAAGCTTAACATTGTGGCTAATCCTAACACAAATGAAGAGTGAAAGTATTAAGTTGTAACAGAACAACAGAAATTATTCATAAAAACACACGTAACCTGAGACAAAGTGCTTGAAAAGAGCTGTAACCTTGACTTACTGTGGCTGTGCCGGAGACAGTTTGTGCATTTGTGTCAGCTGCACTCTGTTCAGAGTGTGTCTGAGCAGGAGGGTACATGTTTAACGTGTGCTCTGGAACAGTGGTTTGGCCTGTGTAGTCTGGAGCTGGATGCGGATGTGGGGCTGTGTATTCTGCAGGGATACCATTCTGAGGTGGAGCGAACTGGGCTGAGGCATAAGGCTGTGCCATTGTGTCAGGAGGTGCTGTAGCTTCCTGATTACCCTGTAAAAAAAAAAAAATCAAAGGGAAAGAAAAGGAAGAAGAAACGTGGCGTGAGATTAAATAAGCGAAGGTCCTGCACACGTAACACGGAGTGATGACAATTCTGCTAAGATTGTTGGCCTGAAAAGGGCACAAGGGCTGTTTCTTAAGGAGAATATTTCTTATCTGAACTAAATGCATTTTGCTAACCCTATTAAATAATATTCTAATTAGACAAACAAATGTGCTGTTCACTGGATAATTGCAGACTATTCTTTAACCAGGAAAGGTCAGTGAAATCTGCCTGAATTAACGCTTCAAGTCAGACAGGGGAGAGGGACAAAGCCACTTTATTCCAAAGGCTACTGAGCACAACTGCCAGTATAGAGCTCTGCTAAGATTAGCTCACTGTCTGTGATCCAGTCTGACTTACCATTTGCAGAACACAATATATGCAACCTACACGCAGGGCAGGATTTGGGTTATGCACTGAAAATACTGATATGAACTAATGCCCTGAGATACTCAGAATACTTTGATGGACTCTGTAGAGACCAACTGCATGCCACAAATGCAAAATAATAATGAGACCCAGTCAAAATATTAAAAATTTGAATCTAAAAATGCCTCAGTTCAAAATCTTAAACAAACATAAAAGAAAAAATTCAATACTGCAGACTGTCAAAAGAAATAGATTTAAGAACCTGAAAGGTTTTAAATATGTAGACAACAGTATTTTATTTGCAGCTCACAGTAAGCCTATACAATTAAAAACAAATCTCCTCATCTCTTTATAGATAGATTCACCTTCCCGTTTGATATAATAAAGAATAGTCAAGCCTATAATTTGTCAATTAGAAAACTTCTGACTAAATGCTTTGCTCATACCAAAAAGCAATAATTCTAGGGAAGGAAACGCACACAACAATCTTTCAGACCTTATATGAAAAATGTCCAAAACACGATGCTGCATGAGACAGCATTAGAGGCCATTAGTCCAGGGACTATCCCAACCTCAGAGCTAATTTACAAGATAAAATTGTCCCTCTAAATATCAAGTAATGCAAAAATGCATATTTAAGTAAAAAATTATTTAGCTTTTAAACCACTCTGTTATTCTCCCATCAAAGCACGTACAAGCACAGGACTAATGCAGGGATTTTGTTTATTTGTACATCAGTCCTTGATTTCCTTATTTAAAAATAGGCTGAATAGGGTGAATAAAAGACAACCTTTTTCACTTTGTACATCAGGACATTTCCAGCCAATTTCAACTAATTCAGACATTAGTTCTCTGACCTGAACTGGTCCTAAACTCAAGAGCTTTTAAAAATTTGCATAGGAATAAGTCTTAGTAGATTTCAAGTTTAGAAGAGAAAACTAAATCTTCCTGTATTCATTCAAACATCTTTAAAATTAAAACAATGGCATTTTCTAACTTCACAGGGTTAAGTGACTTTTTTCTACATATCTACAATCATTCCAAGGTTAATGCTGCACTGAAACTGGCCCTGTTAAATTTCTGTGGAGATTAAAAACTCGTGTAAATGTGTACTTCTACCCTCTTATATTAAAATGCTAAAGTTCCTTTCTGATTTCTTTTACCTAATATTTTCACTGTTAAAAATTAAAAAAAAAAAAAAAAAAAAAAAAAAAAAAAAAAAAAAAAAAAAA